TTTTTTTTTTTTTTTAAAAAAAATTTAAAAAACCAAAAAAAAAAAAAAAAAAAAAGGTTTTTTTTTTTTTTTTTTTTTTTTTTTACCAATGAAAATGAGTCATTGTATATTTTGATTTAAAGTTTTTCAAAAACTCTCCTGCAGTTCTGTGATATCTGCCAGATGTTTGTGTTCTAGTGGTTAATTTCTCTGATTTTCCCAATAGCTTCACATAATGACACCAGGAGTTGCATTAAGTTCTCATTTCTAACGATCTCTAAGCCACAGAAGACCTTAGCTTTATCGTTCACTTGCTTCAGCCAGTCACATCACAAGTTCTGGAAAATTTTCTGCACAACACTAATAGAGCGGGCTAAAAAGGAAGAGCTACAGGGTACAGTCTGAAACCAAATTACATTTGTTACTACAACCCTATAAATGGTTAAAGCTGCAATATGTAAATATTATTTTACCAATTTGTTGAAACTGTCTCTAACAATATGACATATGTCATAACAGAATATTATGGGACAGATAATCTGTGAAAAAAATTGAGCGCCGCCTTCTCCCAAAACACTAAATAGAAACAACCAATCAGAGCCAGGAGGCGGGACTTAACTCGTGTCCATCACAAACTTGTATGCTAAACCCCCTTTACTCAGCAACATGCCCTATTTAGTAGAAACTTCAGTGAATTCTTCAGCGAATGGTATAAAAACGTCTCTGGATTCTTGTGAAACAGGTGACGTGCCAAAGTAAACCTGATTTTTCAAGAGGAAAGGAAGACTGAGGGTTTAAGGATCTCACCTGGGCCATGAGGATGCCAATCACCACACCGAGCTGATGCAGCGTGCCCAGGGCGCCACGAAGAGACGTTGGAGAGATTTCCTCAACATACATGGGTACAAACCCCGTAGAGAGGCCAGAGTACAAACCCACTATAAAACGTCCAATGATGAGCATCTCAAAGGAAGCTGCCAATTTGCTGAAGCCCATAAACACAGCAGCAAGAAAGGCTAACACATTGGCCACGAGCATGGAGTTCCTCCTTTAAAGATCAGATTCATTTTTCCATTAACAATCTACTTTTATGTTCCGAGCCAAACTTCTTCTCTCCACGAGCGACATCTTACCTGCCAAAGCGGTTGACAAAAAGGCCGACAGAGAAGGAGCCAAACATTCCTCCCATGGAGAAGACGGCCACGGAAAAAGACCACAGAGCTGTCAGGGTGCTCTGAGAAATGGGCTCTGAAAACCTGCTGATCCATGTTGTGTTGTAGAAGCTCTCAATGATCTTTAAGACAAACAGAAAACAGTCAGGTCAAAGCTGCTCGACTCAGACAGTCTGGATCCAGGTGAATCATAGGAATATATTAGAGATTGGACTTTTGTCTTGTGCCAGTTGGACAGGAGGTGATGAGACCTCTACAATGTTTCCATGAAACCTGAGACGAACTGAAAGCTTCGCCTGGGACAAGATTTGTCAGTTTTTCTTTTCAGAATATATTTTGTTATTATCACTACAGACAAATCCAAAAGTGGAAAAAGTAGATCAAAGGTATAATGAAATCTAGCTGTATATTTAGAAGGCCACAATCATTTACTCAATTAAGTAACTAAATGTGGAGAAAAAATATATTTCATGTTCTGCAGTATTTTGTGAAATAACTTCAACTGCTACTGTTTCATTAAATAAACATCTGATTGGTTAACCTGTAGCAACTTAGCAGCCGATCAGTCACTTACTAGTAATTTGATATAAATGATACATCAACAAAAATTTCCATAATTTTTTCTGATTTATTTGCCATGTGTATCTCCATTTTAATAGAAATTTGTATATGAATAAAAATTAATTTGAGACTGTTTAATTTATTTTTTGTTGTGACACTTATGATCTTCCATACATAAAATCCTGGGTAGCTTAAATCATTTTGTATTTTAGCTGGAACATGCCTAGACTTGAGCAACTACTCTGGAACTTTCTTTCTTTGAACTTCTGACAAGAAAGTCTGGCTGCTTGGAAGAAAAGAGGAAGACATGTTGTCTAAATCTGGAATGTATTTGCTCTATTATCTGGATACAAATAAGTGGTTTGATATGAGAACTGTCCTGCATATATAAAAACAGCACAGTGTGTTTTCCTGTTTTCCTGATCACTAAGACTTTCTCACATTCTGAGGTGCGTTAATGACACCCGTGTTGTAGCCAAACTGCAGAGAGCCGATCACAGCTGTCCCCACTGCCAGCATCAACTGGGGCGTCACCTGTATAGGAACAAAAAGTTGGGAAAAGAAATAAACATTTAAAAAATGACTCCGGAAAATATCAAGACACAGAGACATTGAATTAAGTTTTTACTCCAATGGAATAAAAGGAATCCAAGAAAAGTTCCAGTTTTGTGGGATTGTATCACAATAATCCTTTGGGGTACAAGTGTTTTCTGTATTTGCTGGTGTGTAGACAAACTGGGCCATTAATCTGTGGATGTGTTGTTTTATTTTTTGGCCTTTTCATTTGAATAATAAGTATTCCTTTTGTAAGTTTTAAGTGGTGTTATGTTTGATGGGGAAAAAATGCTACAGGTCTTAGGACTTATAGATCTAAGAGACAAGGAGATGAATGAAACAAGAAACTAGGACAGAAAAAACATGAGCAAAAAACACAAGGCAAAGTTTATAGGAACACAAAAACATAAACATTAACCAGATTTATAGTTGGATTGTAGGTACATGGCAGCTTCTGGCTGCATACTGCCTTTACAGGGTCAGTATGCAGCCAAAGTGGCATGAGATAGTTAATGGTGCCGCTGCATTCCCCTCCAAATGTTTGTGCTGCCTGCAGGTGTATGATATCGTCTTCAACTCCACAACATTCTTGCTACAAGGTAACAGGGCTGCAACTTCTCCGTCAAACTCCTGACTGAAGTTGGCTCCTCTCCTTCTTCCAAGCAAACAAAATTGGTGTCAAATGCGTGCAGTAAAACTTTTCATTTGTGCTACTATAATTTTAAGGATATTAATAAAAGTTTCCAGAGGTCATCAAAAATCCCCCTGATTCTATTAAACAAAAACAACATTTGTTACAATCAACTGTGCAACATTTATGCTCACTAAAATGTCTATTTGTGCTGCTTTTATGAAGAAGATATTAATGAAAGTTTAAAGGTCAAATTGTCAACCAGCCCCCTCATACACTAAATTACCTGTAATTGACAATACGTTAATCTCACTATACTATATGTGATATTCCACTCATGATACGATATATATCATGATATTCAACAAACAATATGATTCAATAAATTTTTAAGATTTTCTGAAATATTTTAGAGGGACAGAATGATTTTGGTGACATTTTTTAACTGTTCCATGGACTTGGATTGAATTAATTGAACTGATTGTGTAATACTGATGTAATAAATGTTTTTGTTATACATTTGTTTTGTTTAAATGTTAATTGTGTGGCTTTGTGTATTTGATTATGCAGAAAAGGATCCTTTTTTGTCTCATTCACTTATATTAGAGAATGTTTTTTATGTATTTTATTTCATTATTTAATAAATTGTATCTGGTTGTTTCATTACATGTCATTTTTAATGTACATATGCAACTGGGTAAAAACCTTCCATGTGTGATAGCTGCCATTTAATTCATGTGGATTTGACATAAAACTCAATGTAGGATGTAATGTATCGATACTTGCAGATGGAAAATTGATACTTTGAGGAAAAAAATATCAGTATCGTAGAATCAATAAAAATTAAACAGCCCTAATGTCCTTTTAAAAACTAACTACTCAAGCAGCTCAAACAAACCTTTGGCAGCACAAACATAGCACAAATATTTTACACTTTGATTTGTGTAATGCGGTTGGTTGACTTTTGATGACCTGTGTAAACTTGCATTATCTTCACAATTATAAAAACACAAAAAGCAGCATAAATAATCACCATGTGGCGTAATTCATTGACACCAATTTAGTTTGATTTGAAGGTGGACGGAAAAGGGGCAGAGGCGAGGCCCATCAAACATGTCCGAGTTTCTCTTGTTTATTTTAAGACCATTATTCTATTCTATTAAAGGTGGAATGGTCTATTCACTCGTCACCAGATGGATAGATTTTATTCATATTTCCAAGGTTTTCCAATGTTACATAATGTATTACGTAATCACACAGACTGTTGTCGAGGTTTGGTTTTGTGCGGACGGGCAAGAGGAACATTTTCCAACCATATTTTACTGAATAAAAAAAAAAACAAAGAACTAAAAGGAAACAATCCAATTACAAATGAACTAATGAACTTCTCACATTCAAATAAATATGTTTTAGATACAATTTGAAATAACTTAAATAGTAACTAAATAGAAAAATACCCTTAAGAATCCAAAATGAATGGACAGAATTTAAGCTGCCTGAAGTGACTGCTCTCGCACAAAGATACTGTGTGGGGAAGGGGTATATTGATCAAGCAGCAGTTACCTTCCCGCTGCACTCCATATCAGCTCAGACAGTCCACACTTGACCTCCAGATTATGAAAACGAGAACGATAGTTGTTAATCTGTTCCCTCAAATTAATCTGCTTTCAGGCAAAAAGTGTTCTGCTCTGTTATTTAGTCCCAAGTCAGTGTAAACAAGCGTTTACTTTCCTCCTCCATTCACCTGCAGCAGTAAGAAGCTTAGCGACGTCACCGCTAAGTGGATCTTCACGCTCTGATTGGTCGAGAGGAGCTCGCAGTGAGACTAACACATGTTTATCAGAGTGCTAATAGCAGCTTAAACAGATTGGCAATCCTTAAGAGATAACTTAAGGAAAGCAGAGAGCACATAAGAACCGACTTAAAAACTATAACATAAACTTGTTTTACAAAAGGCTTTTTGTAAAACATCTATTTCTCTTTCAAGCAGGCAGATTTTCTTCTGCTCCTGTCGACTGGTCTTGATCAGTAATTTTCCATTTCCAACAAAAGGGAACTTTTGGGGCTGCTTCTGCAGTACCATATTCTACAGTATCATATTTTACTCTAATTGAATAACTTTTTTAATTAACGTGCGGTGCAGATTCACAACAAAACGCTTACAAAACAGGTCCTGTCAGTTCAGTCCTATCAAACAGATTCAAATTCATTTACGTACACTCCTCTTTGATCCTAGTTTAAAAAAGCAGCACTGCTCTCTGTTTTGTGCTGTCTTCTCAAACCCTCAGTCATTTGTACCAATTGGTTGATCAGGCTGAGCCAGATTCTGGTTCTGCTGGAGGGTTCTTTCTGGAAGAGGGGCTGTTCTTACATGCATAGCTGCTGCAAAGTCAGTGACTCAATGCGAGTGATGGTGCGCTGTCACTACATGCTTGTCCAGGAGGAGTGAACGATGCAAGTCAGAAACACAGTGCATTTGTTTTTTATTGCAAGCTGAATAATAAACTGAATTTGACTGCATTGTTTTGATCAATTGGAACCACATTTTATTATGTGATTATATTGGTTTGGATATGAAGATTTGTTGTGAGTGAGTGGGAACTATGTCAATATACACTTCAACTGACATTCAGTTTTTTTGTGTCAACTTTTAAAAAAAAGATTTAAACATAGTTGTTGTGAGTCCTTTTATCTTTTAAGCCTTTGCACGCATCTTATAAACGTTCCAGCCTAATGTAAAAGCGTAATTCTCCCCCCATATTCCAACCTAACATCTTAATGCCAAAATTTTGATGTAATGAAAAAATCTATAGGTAAACACATATCTAATCCTGCTGCCCATCATCCATCAACCAATAATCTGCTTAAAGCTGCAGTATGTAACTGTTACAATGTTTTTACATATTTTCCAGGTTATGACAAAGGATCTGTGAATAAAGAAATTGAGCTCACCTATCTGCATTAACACTTTTCTCATTCTGAAACAACCCAGAGCTCTGAAGAATTTCTTACCACTGTCAAGCATGCTTGTGTATGTGCTGCTCACAACCTCCCCCTTGCTCTCTGCTGTGCTACAGCTCCTTCCCTACAACATAACCTGCCATGAATAATAAGGCTAGCATGGCCATAGTTGGCGGCGGATTAGCAGTTTTCCTGGAACCGTAAATTGTTCCTCCATTAGCAAAGCTGCAGTCCATACTGTGGCCACCGAGTGGCGCTAATATGTGGACAAAACTTGAAAACGGCAGCAACGCCACCTAGTTAAACTAGGAATAAAAAAAAAGGTAATAAGAATGAGCAGTGCTTTTAACAAAAACCCCAGCCCGTTATATTTCACAATAATGTATTATAAGAAAGTCAATAAAACTGCAGTGAAACAAATCTAAAAGGCCATAAGGTCAATAAAAGTTTTACTCGCCAACATGTGCAGCGTTTCTTGGCAGCCTTGAGCTCTGGTGAAGAAAAGTTTATTAGAATTTAAATGGTTGTAAATAAAGATATAATGAGATGAACTGATTACTTGCTGCACAGCGGAGAATGACGGGCACTTCCAGTGCAACACAGCGGGTTATAGCAGCTCTGTTGGCGAAATTCATACATTTTTTAAAAATAATAGATTCTAACGGTAGTTTCACGCTGCAAGTGACCTTTAACATAAAAATAAAATGGGGCTACTATTTTTATGCCTTGCTCTCTTTCATTGTGCCACACTATGAAACCCTATAATGGCATTTTAATAACTATATTAAAGACCATTTTATGACAGTTCTTTTCCTTTTGGTGCAGCTAACACACCTAGCTGGGATGAGACGGCTCCTCGTAATGTTTGGCCCCTAATGTGTTGACTAGTGTGTGTCTATGTTGTTTCCTGGCGTGCGTATGTGTGTGTTGTGTCTCGTGTCAGGCCAGCTTAACTCATGTTGCCTCTCTAATCCTCTGATGAGCTCTTTCTAACTCTATTCAGAAGACAACATGGTGACATCTGATCTCGCCACAGCTTGTTCACAGATACAAGTGAAACAAACATCATCTCTGCAGCAAACCTCTGTGCAATTAATATTTCTAAAGGGGCCATATCCATGTCCACATGACTCATGTTAAATTCATAAGCTGGTTATTGATCAGTGAAAGAACTATTGTAACTAATGTAAGATGGCCTCAGAGAACTTCATGCTTTGTCATGAATTGCGGTTGGTTGTGGCGAGAATGGATATGGTAGGGCGCAGGTTGGAAGTGAAACAATGATGGTTTTAATGGTGATAAGTTCACAAATCCAGCAAACACAGGTGAGAAAGGAGCAGACACAGGTAGGCACAGGAAGTACACAAGACAAAGATACGACAGGGAGCAGGTGACACAGGTGGGGCTAAATACGCAGAGGGTAGTCAAGGGAAAACGAAGGACAGCTGGAAACAATCACTCAGTTAACTGAAAAAACACGCTCAAACTCCAAATCCTCACATGCTTATGATTTTTAAATGCAAAAAAAGCCTGTAAACAAAGGATTGAATATAACTGTAGCATAAAGGATATAATTATTGATTTCTCAGATCCAAACACTAACTAGTTTGGTTCTTATAAAACCATCAAGGTTGTTAAATGAGCTCCAGAGGTCCATGCTGCTGACAGACATTTCCTGAGGAAACGCAGTAGAAACTGCCGTTGTGGGAATGTGTGAATGTTTAACCATCTGTAGCTGTAGAATGACTCTTTTCAGCTGCTGCTCACGTCAGTCACTTGGACTGTTCATGTATTTACTTTTCTGTGGAACCTTTTCCATACTGATCTGAAGTCACAAGTTTTTTTCCAGTTTGCCTTTGCTGCAGAACTGCCCAGTGTTGTTGTGCAACCCGCAGCGCTCCCACCCCCAGCTCTCCATATTATTATTTTTTGATTCCATATGTTAATGTCAAATAGTTTTGGTGGCTGTTAAACATTGAAACAAGTCAATAGCTCCAGTGTTTCTTGGCTGACCGAGAGTTTGTAATTCCCATGAAGCAATCCATCACAGTTGACTCCTCTCTGTTACTCTTGTTTGGGAAGAGGAGTGTCTCTAAATGTGACATCAGGAGAAACCTGAAACCGTTATTTCCAGCAGCCCTCCCATTACTCTGTCTACTCTCACGTTTGTTCCCCTTTCCCCTGAACCTCTCTCCGCTCTCTCAGCTGGGCTCCAAACAGCGCCAACTTTTCCACCCTGTCTGCCTAAACTGCACCACCTATCCTTCCGAGAAGTACCACCGCAGTGTTGACCTCCTCCTGGTTCTGCTTCTGAAGGTAGGTCTCTGAACGGCCCTGCGCTGCCACGTGTTGGCCGCTTTGACAAGATCTGCTCAGGACGAGTCAGGGAGAAAGGGAGAAACGCTCTGACAGCTTGGTCAAACTGGTTTCACTGGGCGTTCACAGGCCCACAGGTCGACTGTGTTAACAGAGTTTGATTTAAACTCTTTTTAAATCAAACTGATTGACGCTAACTTCGTTTGCTGAAAACAGACCAGAGAAAACATTTTTGGAACATATGACACTGTCATCAATTTACATTAAATTTAACCTTAAGTAAATTATTATTGCCATTGCTATTGTTGTTGTAGAAATGAAAGGGAGACATTATGAGTCATTTTTGGTTTTATGCAGAAGGTTTGATTATTTTTGTTTTAATTTCTACTTGTATGAACTTATTTTTCTAATAATGTGTCGCTGACAGAAAAGTATTAATCATAAAGAAGGAATGGGGGAAAAGCATGCAAATAATGTTACAATATTTGTAAACATTTAACAGCAAGTGTTTTGCTTGCTGAAGACATGCAGTGGTAAAACAGAGCCTCTGTCTTATATAAGCTGTAAACCCTCAGAGCCCATGTCAGGAAAAGAGGGCTGGGCCTCTCCCAGGAACAACTTGTTCACTGTTGCAGCTCGGTTTGACATAGAAGGCAGGGTCAACCAAGAAGATTTTCAAACTTGGAAATAACTATTTTATTTTAGACTTTGGTAAATTTTTCAAAATTTTACTTGATGGGAAAAAGGATAACCTCTTGATTTTGATGCTCTTAAGCAATGCTTGAAGCAGTTTTCAGCAAACTTACGGCACAAATTTGTGTTCAGGAATATATGAAAATAACTTCAGGGGGAATTACAAAATAAGATAATATAATGTTAAAGAGAGTACACAAATTAGGCAATGAAACCAAAGGAGTTCAGTGGAAGAGCACAGGTCAACTGAGTTACTGTAGCAGTACTTTGATAGTTTAGGTGTTGCCAGGTTGGATGGTTGGTTCTGGGGATCTTATCAGGATCCCCTGACTGCATGCCACTGCTGCTGACCCCGAGTGATGACACCAATAGGAGTAGAAGGGGCTGCACTTTGAGGATCACCTCAATCCAAACACCATGTCCTCTGTAGAAACGCCAGAGTCTGAGAACTTTGGGGAAGATGAGTCCATCACCGTTTGCATACAGCAGACAGTGGATGAGATTCACCCCAAAATGCTGAATTAATTGTTTGGATGTCATGTTGAAGTGCCTCTTTAACAATGCAAGGAGTATTGGACAACACTTGCGGAGTGGAGACTCAACAAGGGCTTGTGGTCCAAATTTCTTTAAAAAAAAAAAAAAAACTGGGGCCATAGAGTATCTGAGCTACTGAAAGATCACAGTCGTTATCCTGCTTGGGAAACTTTACTCTTGGATGTTGGAAAAGAGAGTCCAACTAACTGTTGAGTGTCAGACTCTGGAGAAGCAGCCATGACTTTCATC